GCACCACATTCTCATATCAGATGCCAGAAACCACAAAGGCGAAACACCGAATCCTGACAATATATACACACCTTGGCTGACTGCTGAACCCCTCCAAAAAGTTAAACTTTTAGTCTCCTTATTATGGTTCATATAGACACCCAAAAAGTTAAAGCCCTAAGAGCCAACCAGAAGAACACCAAGAATACTAAACCGTTTCGGGCTAAGGGTTAGGTGTCCGGCTTGAGCTCACGGTTGCAGGACTGACTGGTTGGTGTCTAAGGGTTCCTTTGAGGGTTCCTGTACGGTGTCGTTTTCAGGGCGATATAAGGGCTTTTAAAGGTTTAGGACATTAGGAGTAGAAAGTGATGGCTGTGGTTCTTGTTTGAATGCCTGTTTCGAGCTGCAGAGAGTGCGAGAGTGATTATTTCCACTAGGCGTATGGGCAGCTCGCATACCGGCCGCTCTCTGGTAGCCTCAAGTTTATGGGTTTGGGGGTTCGGGTATGACGGTATACCGTTAGTTTGGGGGATGTGGGGTGTAGCCGACTGGTATTCGGAGCGCTGGTCGCAGTCTATGTGTTCCTGTGCTCCTTGTTCTTGGGAGCCTGGCGGTTTACGCGGTCGAAGGCCTGTCTCCTCCAACGCAGAGATCTTGGTGACCCTCGAGTTGCTCCCTTTCGCGCATGGCGAAGCGTCCCGGCGCTACCTTGTCTAGTGTCGCGCGGCAAAGCTTGCACCATTGGTGTACTCGCGCCAGGGCGTCATAGAGGTCTCGGCCAGGCTGATATGCAAATTGCGGCACTCACGCCAGTTGGGGCGGGATGTGCTCGTACAGCCGTTCCTTGACAAGGGCGGCCAGCACCTCGGCTTCTGGGCCCATTAGCCCGATCGGGCGTAAGGCCGCCGGTTGTGATGGGGCCTTGCCCGGCTTGGGCAACCATATGATCCACGCATCAGTCCATCTCTCAGGAAGGGATACATCCGCTACCGCGTGCTGTTGGTAGGCTTGTTGCAAAAGGGGGGGCGATGGACGCCGCCCCTATACGTTACCTTCTGTGCGCTTGGCTACAATGTGATGATGATGGTGATAATGATAATAATGATGATTGTGGTGGTGATGAACATGACACCACCACTACTCGCACAGTTCGAGGTGTAGGACAGTACATCTTAGTTTGGGCAAACACCACCAAAGCCTCGTATTACAACTCCTTCAACCCTGCTGCACCCTAGCCATAAATCCCTGAACCCGAAATGTGAAATCTTGGTTCGACCGTTCCTAGACGGCCTTAATACTCAGAATAGAGCTTTGGAGGTATAATTCTACTATAATTATGATAAGGACCCCCCAGCAAAAAAGCAACATAATATTATAGGTAAGTATTAGGGCCCCTACTTGGCTGACTTCTGAACCCCTCCTAAAAGCTAAAACCTTCGCGTACATGAGTATAGTCCGTATAGGAAGCCCTAACAGTTAAAGTCCCAAGCGCCAGCCAGAAGAACGCCAAGCCTATCATGTAGGGGCCTTACTGATTAGAATAGGGTTTTGGGGTCCTTTATGGTAAAAAGAAAGTAAGGAGCCCCCAAAATAATGTACTAGGGGTTTGGGGTTTAGGGTTTCGGGTTTAGGGTTTAGGGATGTATATAGGGTTTAGGGATTACGGTTTAAAGTTTAGGGACGGTCTAGGGTTTCGGATAGGTTTGAGGCTAGTTGTGAGGTCTTCGGGCTTCAGGTTTACGGCTTCCGATTAGGGTTTAGGGTTTAGGGTTTAGGGTTGATATTATGATATTATGTTTATATTAAATGTATCTAAGGTCTGGGATGTACACACACGGCCGAACATACGTGCTGCGCGGTAGCTGGGTATTTCCGAGTTTTGGAACAGGGACCTGACTTAGGGTACGGAACAAACCTTCACAGAAACCCTAAGCCCACCCTAAACCCTAAACCCTGAACCACAAACCCTAAAACCCAAGACTTAAACCCTCATAGAAACCTGATAGTGATAGAACCGGGAGGAAGCCCGAAAACCCTCAAAGCCACCTCCGAGGCGCTTTTGCGAGGGTTTTTGCCGGCTGCGAACCTCAATCCTTAAGTCCTAAATCCCAAGCCCTAAACCCAAAGCCCAATACCCCTAAGCCTAAAACCTAAACCCTAAACCCTAAACCCGAAACCCTAAACCCTAAACCCCAAAAACCCTACACCGCCTACACCGCCTACACCCCTACACCCCTAAAGCCTTAGAGGTTTAGCACCTTCGGGATCTTGGCCTCCATTGCATCCGTCGGATGTTCCGAGGACGTTGGCAGGGGCGCCACGCCCGAATAGGGCGTCACATCCTGGCTTCGTTCAAAGGGTGTAGGGTTTTTTTAAGTGCATTGCGCCCCTTTTCTGAAAGGGTTTAGGGTTTAGGGTTCAGGGTTTGGGATTTAGGGTTTAGGGTTTATTGTTTCGGGTTTGGCTCTTCTTAAGAGTTCCCTCTTGAGGGTTCAGGGTCTAGGGCACAGCACAAGTACACAACTCGTGGTGGTAGGGTTTTAGGGCTCTTATAGGGTTCTCACTACGGAACCTTAAATATCATTCATCAGTCAGAGAAAAGTGCCTCAACCCTAAGCCCTAAAACCTTAACCCTGAATCCTAAGCCTTAAATCCTAAGCCCTCAACCCTAAACCCTTAACCCCAAACCCTAAACCGACGGACCGAAACCCTGAGAGCCTTACCACTTCAGGCCCCCAAGAGATCACCTAAACGCAAGAAGGAGCCTGACATGGGGTAAAGTAGGGGCCTAAACCCTAAAGCCTACACCCTCGAGTTCGTTCGCCCTCCGGCTTAGGGTTAAGGTTCAGGGTGTAGGCTTTAGGGCTTAGGGCCAAAACCCTAAACCCTAAACCCTAAACCCTAAAGCGTTCCCATGTTATATCCGCAAGAGAAGGATGAATGAGGACCAATGTCAGCGAGATGACATAGCCTGGCCGGGAACAAAGCTAGACTTTAGGGTTTAGGGTTTAGGGTTTAGGGTTTAGGGGTGTAGGGTTTAGGGTTTAGGGTCTAAACCCTAAAAACCCTAAACCTTAAACCCTAGACTCTTTGCCAAGGTGGGCAGGGAGGCTGCCAACCTAGCAGTGTGCGCGTTCCTGCCCAGCCCCCATGGCATTGTCCACGCTGGGCTGAAAGGACGCCACTAGGCTTAGGGCCTTAGGGTTTAGGGCTTGGTTAAGGCCGACTTTGTGCAGCGGCGCCGTGCAACAATTGAGCGGACACTGGGCCGCATTGCGTTTGTCCGCCTTCGTCTCGCCAATGCCATCAATTTGCAGCCGCCGCCTTGCGGCTGCGGTGAACACGGCAAGCTGCCTGATCTGCAGCTTGCAGCTGGTAGGACTGTAGGGTTTGGGAAGCGAGGAAGTAGTACAGACCTTAAACCGTCAAACCCACAACCTGAACCTTAAACCCTGAACCCTGAACCCTAAACCGGGCACCTGTAGGCCAACTCAGAAGATGAAGGAACTTCGAACATAGGCCCTTCCTGTCGACGGATCCGAACCATCAGGGCCCATGCATGCCCTACATTAAGTAGCACGAAGGTTCAGCAAGTCCTCAGTGCGGGGATTTGGTTTAGGGTTTAGGGATTTTGGGGTTTTGGGGGAGGTTTAGGGTTTAGGGTCTTGCCCATCAGCTACAACCTTCAAAAACTTTTACCACTTCGGGGCGCCTGACAGTTGCAGCCGTGAAAGCAACAAACACAACACTCTCTAAGGCTCCAACCGCAACCCCCAAACCCTGAACCCCAATAGAACTATCAAAGAACCCTTTATAGAACCTTTGAGAAACGGAACGACACGACTACACCAAGCAAGACCTTAGAAAACCCCACGAAACTGCAAGCCTCTTCTCGAAAGCTTCAATCACAAGCTTCGAAGCATGCATGTATAGCCCAATGATGACTTGACTCTACTCGACAGCTCAGCTGCTTGAGGGTACATATCTAGCCTACCTTGCGCCTGCTAGGTTTTAGAATACCTTGCGCCTGCCACCCTAAACCCTAAACCCTCAACCCTAAAATGTGGTCAAGTGCTGACAGGACCCAGCCTCCTCCTCCAGGATCGTTTCCGGGATGTTTGGTGCCTCCTCATCGATGGCCCGAGGTGAATCGGGGAACGCCTGGGACAGCGGACGGCTTAGGATTTCGGAGTTGGCATCTCAACTTTTTTTGTATGCGTGGAGGGTTCCAAATTCCTGGCTTGGCATGCATCAAAACCCTAAACTATAAACCGTAAACCCTAAACCCTAAACCCTCAACCCTAATTGAAGCGTTGTGAATTGCGGGTTGGGCCTAAACTCTCAACCCTAAGCCCTGAAAACCCTGAACCCTAATTAGACCCTCGTGCAGTCGAAGTGATAACCCTAGTCCATGTTTAGGGTTTAGAGTTTAAGGTGAAAACCATCAATCCAGCAAAATCGCGATCCTGACCTAGTTTCTATTCTACCCCCCAGACCTAAACCCTCAAATCAATGCCCCAACATGCAAAGATTCAGAGGATCATGGGACTTAGCAAGTAAGTCAGTTGTAGAGATGCAGTTGCAGGCACCCTAGCTAATGTTATCCAACCCTAAACCCTAAACCCTAAACCCCTAAACCCTCATGATCCTATTCATAACAGACTTGCTTAGTCCCCCCATCCTGTTAGTACTAGAGGGGGGTTTAGGGTTTAGGGTTTAGGGTATACTATTTGAGGGGGGGCTCCTTATTATAATTATGGTATAATATACCCTAAACCCTATTCTCATGATTAAGGCCCCTACATTACTGGGGGTCTAGCAGGAATAAGACTCAGACTGCCCTGCAGCCTAACCTCTAAAATTTCAGGGGCTCAGCTGCACCTCTAGACCTGATGCCACTAAACATAGGTAAAGGAAACTACAGGTGGGGAGTTTAGGGTACATAGGGCTTCTGTAAGGCTTCCATAACGTATATAGACCTTCTAGAAGGCTCCTATAACGGTAACCACCGACCTGAAAATGTCCTATTTTCATAGGGACCTTACATAATGGTTCTAGGATGTTCTAGGGTGTTCTAGGGTTTAGGGTTTAGGGTTCCAATTGTGCTTCGGTGTCATTTGTACCATGCTTGACTTAGGGGCTTTAAGGGAACTTTCACCTATTTATTCTAACCCTGAACCCCAAAACCATCCTAAACCCCAAACTTCTTATGGGCTTTGGGAGCACGGATGTTTGCCGCTCAGGGTGGAACATTGAGAGCATTTGTGGGTTTGGGGGGTTTGGCTTCAAAGGTTCCTTCACCTACTTGTATAGAATACAGAGGAAATTATCCCGTCGTAGTCCCTGTAGACTTCTACCGTTTAGGGTTTAAGGTTTATGGTTTACTTGTCCAGTATCCTGGGGAACCAAAGGTTAGCCTTTGGGGGGTATATTGAGACTATCTTATAAAACCCTAAACCCAAAACCCCTAAGCCCTAAAACTTAAACGCGAAACCCCTAAGCCCTAAACCTTAACCCCTAAACCCCTAAGCCCGATGTATTACAACCTTGCAAAATATAAGCGGTATATGTTTTGAAAACTTCTGTGTGTGGAAAGAAGAAATATTGTTCAGAATATAGTCTATATGATTCTCAGCCGAAACACTCGGTGTACGTCTGGAAAAGGACGAGTGTGGCTTTGGCCTTCGTGTCTTCTGTGGGGACCAAGCGGGGTGGCTCGCCTGGAGCCAACTTGAAGTGCTTCAAGTCCTCGTGGCCCACGGAGAGAACCTCCGGCTCCTCGTCCTGGGAGGCGAACAAAGGCTTGTGGTGGAAGTGCAGGAGGATCTGATTCGGACTCAGTGGAATCCTCCTCCATGGCCGAGGCCTCCTCCTGGGGTGCCTCTTCACGCGATGGATTTGGAGCGACACCACTGTTGCTTTCCTGTTTGGCTGCCCCTTCCACAGTAGGGGCTTCCTGTTTCAAGTCCGGCAATTCGGCAGGGAAGCAAGCTCCACTGAGGTAGCTGATTGTGCTGGGTGCCCCGAACTGAGAAGCTAAAGGGAACCCTAAACCCTAAACCCTAAACCCTAAACCCTAAACCCTAAACCCTAAAGGGAACCCTGGCCCTGAACCCCCTCAGTCCTACCCTAATAGGCTACAAGCCGTGAGGCTCTAAGGCTCTAACGTTTACGGTATACGACTAGTTTCATGCAGTGAGCACTTACAGTGGGATCTGAAAAATATAGAAAGGATCTGCTTTGAGCTGTCTGTCTACCTAACTATCTCCCTACCTATCTAACGTCGGTATCGATGTGTCGAAAGCTAGGGGCAGTGCTCTTTCAAAGTCCTATGACCAACCCTAAACCCCAAACCCTAAATCATGCTTCACCCTAAACCCCAAATAAACCCCAAATTCCAAAACCCTAAACCCTAAATCCTAAATCCTGGACCCTAANNAAACCCTGGACCGTAAACCCTAAATCAGCCGCGGGGCTGCAGCATCATGAAGGCCACCGCCACCATGCCTGCAAGGCGCGGCGGCGCATCTCGAAGGATCTTGGTTCTTCATAGGGGGCGGGGGGGGGGGGGGGGGG